ATCAAATAAATAAATAAAATCTTTAAAAATAATAATAATAACAATTGGTATTGGTTGATTCTGCCTGCAAATGATCGCTCAAATCTATCCTCCTCTCTCTCGGCATCCCTGCCTTAGTTCAGGCCTTTCCCATCACGTGCCTGCTTGGAATACTTCAAGGTGCCCAGCTTTTCCCAGTTTCTGATCACCTGCATCCCTGCTTTGGCAGGTCTTGGCCTGTCCCTTCTGCATTTGCCTCCCTCTGTGGTTCTCAGTGCTGCTCCCACATTACAATCGCCTGGAGCGCTTTTAACAAACCCCAAGGCCTGGGCTTTGTTTCCACACGTCCCTCCGATGGAACGGGACCGGGACCGGGGCGCTGGGGGCTCTGAAGTGCAGCCAGGGTGGGGCCACTTGGGAGGCCGTCCCCCACACTGCTGCAGAGGGGTCCGCGTGAAACACAGAGCCAGTCACAGCCTTCCTGTGGGACTCTTTTCCTTTCTCGCACCTCCTCTCACCCCACTGCCACTCAGGGCCTGCTAGCCATGGTGAATGACCCGCTATTCTCTGCCTGGAGTGCCCACTCTACTCCGCCCCTCCCTCTCCACCCCTTCTGGAAGCTTCTCTGAAGCCCCTGGAAAATTGTACCCCTCCCCTTTGTACCTGCCTCAAGGCTTCTGTACCTATGTTATCTGTGTCCTCTCCTCAACGACGTGCTCCATTGCGGGCACCAGAAAGTCAGTCCTGCCTGCACACTTTCGGGCTTTGTGACCTTGCACGATTCCCTTTTCTTCCCCTTCCTGAGCCTCGGTTTTCTCGTCTACAAAATGGGGACGCGCATACCTACCTGTAGGATTGTTTGTGCATTGGAGGAAATGTAGAACACTTGACTTTAGCCTCACAGGTGCTCAATCTGTATGTTAACTCTAGTCATCAGAATACTCTCGGTGTTCAGCTCAGTACCTGATGCACAGAAAGAACTGGAGGGTTTTTGAATGAATGAGTGGAATAGACATGGGTGCTACTGGAATTCAGAGAAGGCAGTGACCAATGTTGAATCCACACGTAGCTTCACGGAGTTGATGGGATAGGAGCTGGCCCAGGTTTTGGAAAGGCAGAAGGAAAAAGGAAAGGCATTCCAGGGAAGGGTGGGGCGGGGGCTGTGAACAATGTTAACAGCAAAGGCAGAGAGAGAGAGAAATGTAAGCCAGTCCAAAAGAAGATCTTGAAGCCCGTAGTCAGCAATGATGATCTCTGCTTTTTAAAAAAAAGATTTTATTTATATATTTGACAGAGAGAGACACAGCGAGAGAGGGAACACAAGCAGGGGGAGTGGGAGAGGGAGAAGCAGGCTTCCCGCAGAGCAGGGAGCCTGATGCAGGGCTCGATCCCAGGACCCTGGGATCATGACCTGAGCCAAAGGCAGACGCTTAGCTACTGAGCCACCCAGGTGCCCCTGATCTCTGCTTTATTCAAAAAACACTAAGCACCTACCATATGTTGGCCACTGAGCTAAAATTCAAGGCCCAGTCCTGTCTCGTGGGCGTGTAGCCCCACAGAGAAGGCTGCCCTGCAGACAGAAGTGGGGGACCTGGAGAAAGGCGGAGGGGCCAACGGAAACTGGCAAAGAGCAACTTAATGCAGGTTTAGAGCCTGGGGGCGATTACTGGAGGAGGTCTAAAGGAGGAACTTAGAAGATGAACAGGAGCTTGGCAGATGCAGAGGAGAGGGGAGGCACGCTCATGAACGCAGGCGTCAGAACCTGGCTTGAGCAGAAATGTGCAGGGGCAGGAAGCGGGGTGCTTTCTCCCGGCTGGAGGGCATGGAGGGTAGATTGTGAGCAGGGGTGAGAGGCGTCTGAGCTCTCTGCAGGGAAGGGTTATAAAGGGCGCTGCAAACCCCAGGAAAGCCTGGGGACTTTATCCTGAAGGCAGCGTTGAAGGGGTGAGGCAGACAGCTGGTGGGGTTTCGAGGGTTCCCTGTGCACCTGCATGAGGCTAAGCACTTCCCTGTACTGCACTGGACTTCCCACGGGGTAACCCTGTGGAGAAGGTGTTCGTGTCCATTTTACAGAAGGAAACCGAGGCCTAGAGAAGGGGGAGAAGGGGCCTAAGGTCACACGGCCAGTAGCTGACACCGCCGGGCCCGGGACCCGAGGCTGACTCGGAAGCGTGCACTCGGAAGGTCTGTGCCGCGATGCCGGAGTGAGCAGAGGGGCGGCGGGGCAGTGAAGCGCCAGGCCAGTCCCGGAGCAGGTCAGGAAAGCTTTCTGGAAAGGCAGGTGGCAGTCAGATTGGGAAGGATCCTTCCTAATGCCAGCCTGAGCAACTTGGAATCCACTCTGAAGACAAGCCTGAGTACTTGAAGGTTCTAGAACAGCGCAAACATAGTGACAGCAGAACCTAAACATTCCCAAAGCAAAGTTAAGGACTAGAGCCTGAGAAATCTAAGGAATTCGAAGTAGTCCTCTTAGGCTGTCATAGCCTTTTCCAGAGTCTTCCCAGAAATAACTGGGGTGATACCAGCTGACTTCTGTCTCCTTAACTTGCATCTACTAACCCAAATCCTTCTCTTTGGGTTAGGCTGTGCGACCACGGTGCTGGTGACGGGGGCAGGAATTGGCGAGATGGTCCTCCAGATGCTGGTTGGTTCGGTATGTGGGGAAACTCTAGGGGAAGGGGCCAGCATTTGGGGAGCACCCCTCCGAGCAGGCGGGAAGATGCAGCCAGCCACCTTCTGAACCCACACTCTCCCTTCCCTGAGGATCCCGCCCAGGAGCAGGGCCCCCTTGGTCTGTTACCTGTTTCTGCTTCTGAGTCAGCTTTGAAAGCTGAGCTTCTGAATGTGGGACTTGGAGATGTGAAGGGATGTATGGTACAGTCCAATACAAACACAAGGCCTGTCTGGGAACAGGGCCAGCAGGGCCCCGTGGGAATGTCCGTTAGCTCCCAGAGCCTGGGATGGGATTGAGCGGAGTCCGGAGTTCATTTCCCACCCCTTCTCAACCTCCCATCCCCACCCCGCCTCTCCTAGCCTTTGGCCACCCTCCATGGGGCCCAGCCGTCCTGCCCAAGTCCTGCCCCAATCAAGGGCCAGCCGACCCACTTCTCTTCAGATAGACCCATGTCTCATCTGTTCACCAGGAAAAAAAAATACATCTGCTTTTTATTGACTCTAAGGCATATATTGTCAATCCCCTTTTTACAAAGGGGGATATTGAAAGTCAGATAAATTAGCAACTTGCCCTCAGTCAGTCCTACTTCTAATAAGTGACAGGACATTCAAACCTAGGTCTCTCAATCTCCGGCATGCCCCTAATCACAACCCTCCTTCCCTCTTCTGGTGCCCTGCCCTGAGGGGGAAGGGCTGCATCGAAATGACGTGATGTCTGGGGTTTGCTTCTGTGTGATCTAGTGCAGGGAAGGAGTGGGGGGGCGGGAGGGGTACAGAGGAAGTTGGTGCTAATTGTTAAAGTCAGGTGATGGGTCCATGGGGGTTCCATAAGCCACCTTGGCCTACACTTTCATTTTCCATGATAAAATAATATATATAAAATCCTTTGCAAAGTTCTGGTTACGCCTTGTGGGTATAGAAACAGTATGCTCAGTGTTTTGAGGAAGATATGGAGATTTTCAGAAGGTTCCAGACAAGAGCTAGCAGGGACTGCTGGGGTCATGGGGTCCAGCCCCCTGTCTCAGAGCAGGAGTTCTGCCTCCTCCGGAAACATAACCTGGAAGCGAGGCCACGACGTCTCTCCTACCCATGGTCCTGCCTATCGGTGTGATGGGCCACAACCCGACCGAGAAACCTGCCAGGGGTCAGAGAAACCTGCTTCCTGCAACACACACCTTCATGTGAGGTTTTGATGGCCTGTGTCTGTTTTCCCCTTTGGCAGATATTCCAGGCTCAGGGCAGCTATAGTTTCCTGGTCTGTGGCGTGATCTTTGGTTGCTTGGCTTTCACCTTCTATATCTTGCTCCTGTTTTTCCACAGGATGCACCCTGGACTCTCATCAGGTAAGGAAAGAATCTGTGTCTACACAAGAGGAGGAAAACAGAGCTGGGGGCGGGGGGAGATACTATAGATCTTAGCACACCACAAATGCTATTCTGTTCCAAGTATAATGCAAGGAAATGTTTATTTTTCTACGGCTTCCTTTTCCCCTCTTCCTGCTTTGCCATGCGATTGTCTGTGCTGGACTCTTAGGGCAGGAGGGAATGGGATAGGCTGACTCATGGTTTCTCCATTAGGAGAGGGGCATGGATTGTGAACTTGGCTTCCTGCGTCCCACCATGCCATGGGACCACGGGCCAAGAATCTCTTTCCAGCCCGTGTGGGGCCCTGAAAGGCAGAGTCTGCCTCCTTGGCTGGAACGCCGCCCAGAAGCCTAATTGGCCATCTCTTTGCAGTTTAGGATTTTGACTCTAGTCCAGATTTCTTTTTCAAAAAGAGGTCCTTCAGGCCAAGTGGCAAAGGAAAGCTCCTTCAGGGCAGAGATGCCTCCTAAGAATAGTCTCATTCCTGGAGACCCCAGGCAGGGGGAGTCCCAAAGCTATTTTCATACCCCTGAGCCTCCCTGCCTCCCTTTCTGCCCAGAGATCTCAAAGTCCTAGCAAGCGCATCAGCTGTGCATGGAGCCAGTTCTTAAGAGAAGGTGCGCAGGCGGAGCCCTCATCCTTTCCATAAAAGAAAAAAAAAAAAAATCACCAAAAAAATGGAAGGAACGGGTACCTGCAGTCCTCTCTTTCTCAGGTGGCCACTCAGTTTAAAGGCCCAGAAGAACAATGCCCCCCACCCCACCCCAGTCTGCACTGACTATAGCCTTGCTCCCCGAAGTGGTAGGTACCTAGCGTAGCACTCAGCACGGAGCCTTCATTTAGGTTTGAGAAATGTTTGCTGAATATGCAATGAGTAACACCTACTGAGTTCCCTATTCCTGGGAGACAAAAAGAAACCTCTATTCCCCAAGCCCTAGACACTAGTCAGAACAAACTGGCAACTAGTTTGCCAGAACTAGTAAGTCTGACTTTCGACTTGGCTCCCTGCGGGGCCATAAAATGGCAGAGAAACAAAAGCCTGGTAAACTCTCAGAAGGAATAATTGCTGCAGGTCAGAGCTGCTAAAACACGCTACCTGTTTTTTCTTTCGTAGTTCCTACCCAGGACAAAGCCCTAGGAATGGAAAGCTCAGAGTGCTACCAGAGGTAAAGCTGGGTGAAGGGGGCCGGCGAAGACCGCCAGGCTCTTGGGCTCCAGCACAGACCCAAGTGTTCGAGACAATCGGGGGAGGCAGTGGAGGCCCATCTCTCCACGCCTTGGCTCGGATCTTCTCCGCTAATCCTTGGTTGGGTAGATGAGATTAAATTGACTTCTGGAAACCTGGATCCTCCCGGGGCAAATCATTAGAAGTTTACTGGATGGATATTCAAGTTCCCTTCCTCTTCCCTGGTTTGGATCTTTGGTCAGAGCTGTCCAGGACACCCAGAAGGGAAGGAAGAAGACAGCCGTACACTTCACTCCATTGGCCACCTCTTGCATGGACCACACCCTGCCTGGGTTTGAAGATCACTTTTAGTTGGAGTTTGGAAGAATGAGTTGAAATTGTAAAGTTCAATGATCATGGCTAGATGTAGATATATTTTGAATTGGCCAAAAACAAACCCCAAGTTATTCCCTGGCATGCTCAAAGGATGTATGTGCTTTTTACTTTTTGAGAGTCCAAAGTCCCTCAAATTCCAGTTGTTGCCAGCGGTAGTTCATTTAACGTCTAAAACATGAAAAGGAAAGGTTGCATCTTGCTACCTTTGGGACACTAATTCACTGGTGTGCTGGGCTAGCTCAGACTCGCTTATAAAAGCCGATGGTTAAAATTTCATTTCGAGAGCTGGTTGTTAAACACAGCCATCATTCAAAATGGAATTATAGAAACTTACAATTAATTACATTAAAAACAAAGGTCATAACCACTCAAAACTCATCACTTCCTTGAGGTTTTTTATGTGTATTGTATCCGTAGAGTGGAAAGGTGTGCTCCTGAGCATCTCTTTCCAACAGCACTTTCCCCGATAATGTGTTTGGTGGCTGGAGATCAGCCACCTGGGAGCATTCACCCCACAGAAACCGGCAAAGGCTATCCTCCTGGCTTTTCTTCTCCCCCTGCCCCCGCCCCCAGAGCCCATTGTTAAACATCCACCTGCATACCACTGCTGATAACCAATGCTAACTGGCCAGAAGTTTCTGGGAGAATGGGATAAAGATTCCGTTTTTCTTGACTGACATTGACTGCGCTTATAAAAGGTGTAGAAACAGCACTAAGAATTTCTCCAAAATAGCTAATTTAAACTTTCCATCTTTTATAGAGGGAAAAAAGCTCTTTATACCATGTCAAGTTGTTTCCTTTAACAAAAAGCTGGGACTGCCGAGCGATCCAAACAGTGCAGCATACTGCCGGCCCAGAGCGAATCCTCTAGTAACACAGACGGAATCCCCAGCCGGCCGCTTGGAAGGCGTTAAGAGCACTGAGGCGTCCATAAGTAGTGAAATGGCTATCACCGTGAGTGTACATTCGTTTACCTGCAGATTCTCTGTGTAGGTACGAACGTACAGGTATGAACAGGGAGAATGGATCCACGTTCTCAGCAATGGGCATAAGCGGTGTGCCCCACACGGACGGGGGTCTCCCACATCTGAGCGTTGGTCCCGTCTGCCGGCACCCTGTGTGCTGATGGGACCCCGGCGGGAGCGAGCTTGGTGGGAGCGCTGGCCTCCCCCTCTAGCCGTGTGTGGCCCTGGGCAGAGAGATCACGGATGCTCTTCCGGCCTGGCTTCTTTTTTTTTTTTTTTTTTTTTAATCTAAGTGACATTTCTAAAAGCACGTACCCTACCTCAAAAGACTTCTGAAAGAATGAAGTGACTTTGTTTGAAGCAACAATTATATGCCTGACAGAGAAACAGCGTAATCAATGTTAGCAATTTTTATTTTTAAAACCTCCTCATTAGCAGCTTCGAAATTGTTCATATGTTTGGTACATATTTATCGTAAGTCAAACAGATCCAAATTCTTTTTGAAAGCTGATGGTCTTAGGGGTGTCGTTTTAACTCCATCTGTAAATACTCACAAGTATTTGATGGCTGTCAGACTTAAATGTGCAATCTCACTGCTGGAGGGAGTGACTGACCTGGACAAAAAAGAAAGCAGTTGTATTTTTCTTGTGGTTTAAAAAAAACAAAAACAAAAAACCTTCCTTTTTATACAAATTTAGAAAGAAGAATCATTGGCTTTACCTAAGGTGTCATGATTAAGAATATAGAAAACAAGATTGAAACGAATCTAAGTGTATCTTTCCTGAAATAAAATATTTTAAATTTAATAAGCGTGTTATCCATTATGGACAACGGATTCTTTTATATGAAGCTCAGAAACAAATGACCAAATATTTCCCAAAGATTGGTCTCTCTTGGGGCGCCTGGGTGGCTCAGTCGTTAAGCATTTGCCTTCGGCTCAGGTCATGATCCCAGGGTCCTGGGATCGAGCCCCGCATCGGGCTC